TTTGGACCCATCACAGACCGTGACAGACGGGCTTTGGACCCATCACAGACCGTGACAGACGGGCTTTGGACCCATCACAGACCGTGACAGACGGGCTTTGGACCCATCACAGACCGTGACAGACGGGCTTTGGACCCATCACAGACCGTGACAAACAGCCTCTAGACCCATCACAGACCATGACAGAGAAACTGTAGTTCTAAACCATCAGGTAAACGGTTCGCTACAAATGGATTGCAAAGAAATGGAACAAAACGATTTCCATTTAATTAGTAGCAGTAGGTCCATCGTGTTTCACATTTTTAATCCCACAAGGGATTGCGCTAACAGCTTTTTGCACAGTTTTCGTTGTTGAGTAATTATATATTTGGGTTTCCATTAGTTTCTTTTCAATGGGCTGTTGATCTTATGTTGATATAGAAACTACATAGAGTTCCAATACAAAAACAGACTTATAATCTTCATATTGGTAATTCGATCAAATGAACTCTAAATATGAGTCTTAGTTTAGAAAAAGAAGAATAGCACTGCGTAGTTTAGCGCACTTTATTTATAAGAACTGAATACATCGAAACCCTGCACGCATATATCAAGTAAACTCTACATCTTCATAAAAAAATAGGGATAACGTAGAAAACAAGAGCGATCTGTACAAATTTTTATTCTTCAAAGAAAATGGCTGTTAAAATTCTTGAAATTCGTTTTAGTAAATAAATATTCAATAAAATAAGCAAACGACTTAAATTTTCGAAGTTCTTTTTAAAAAATGAGTTTTAACGGATTAAAAATCAAAAATTTCTCAGTTTCAATCGCTTTTAATCGGAAAAATTCAACACTATACCACTACTATCGAGTCATTAATTTGTACTTTTTCTTGCACCGTTCAAAGGATGTCTATATTTCTCCTGCGAATTTCAAACTTGAGCCTGGACAATCACGTATGATCAGACTTGAATTTCAAGCACCTCGTAAAGCTCAACCGGCTCTTCTTCCCCTATTCTCTGGCTTCATTTATGTATCAAATAATGTAGACGAAAAAGTTGCTAATATTCCATGTAAGTAAATATTTTTCTCAGTCTTCTTAAATTCACCTTTTCTGAAATGATCTTCATGCCTTTAGATGCTGGTGTTGTGGGCAATTATAAGAATGCTCGCATTTTAGTTCGCAATAGTTCATCAGGTGTCGTAACAGGCCTATTGAATGCAACTGGTAACTATATTTCGAACGGAGAATATATGAATTTGACCGCATCCAATGGATCTTCAATCATACTGGTTACAGCATGGGCATCGCGAATTGTTTTCGTAGATGTCATTTCGGAAAAACATAATGCTCCACATGGTGTTAATTCGAGGTAAAAGACAATTTCATTCAAGATTATTTAAGATTTTGATCAGCGCTTAAAGTGGAGAATTCTGGCTTCTTTCTTACTTAGTATCTCATGGTTCTTTTAAAGTCATTGTTGCGACTCTGAAGTCATAGTTTTATTAATTTCTGATGACCTTAGGTGATTATTGTAACATAAAAAAACAATGAACGATAAATAGAATTATGTTGTTATAGCGGCAGCATTTCTTTTATTCATTTATTCTAATTGTGATCATAATGGAAAAACTGGAAGAACAGTGCTACCGATATATACTCAGTGTATCATCGATGTTATCTTCACTATTCCCTCCTATAGTCTGTCCCTGTTCTTCTTTTTTCTTCCCTTTATATAGTGATACATTAGATCACTCGGTTATACGAGAGAAAAGAGAACAGAAGAAAAGATATATATATATATATATATATATATATACAGAGAGAGAGAGCGAACAATGAAAGTTACACCAGCAGAAACAAGACAGATTTTGTTGAACAGAGCAAGGACAAGAATTAGTCCATCACACTAATTACATCACACTAAAGCAATGTAAACTAAGGATGACACCAAATGGACAAAATCATCCCTGATAAACATACCCACATACATGTATATCTATGATAGTGCCTATTGTCACAATTATGACCAGCAATGTGACACTTTTCGTGGAAAATGTTTTCTTCTCTGTGATTATCCAGAAAGTATATTGAATCTGTTGAGAAATAAAAGTCAGAGTCAGAATTATATGCTCTTTCAAGTGACAGACGCGAAAAGTGTCTTCTTGCTTTTACATGCAATTAGGGTAATTTTTCAAAAGCCTCAAATCTCGTTTGGTTGGACTAGATCAGACAATGTTGATAAATAGTGCTTAGTTTATTTAGTTGTCTGGAGAAAAATATTTCAGACAAATGGAGAACTAGATATAAATTCAGATAAGAAATATATGTCTGCTTCAAATATGAACTCAGTTACATTATGCTAAATCTTATTTGAGAGCAGAGAAAATCGTTGAGCCTTGAAAAAAAAAAGATCTGAATACAAAAAGTAGTAAAAGACAGTGCTTTCAAACTTAACTGAAAAACTTTTTCTTCTAAATAAAACGAAACTATATAGATTTTATCACCGTAGCACTTGTAAATGTGAAATTGCTTTTCATCTCAAAAATTCAGTTTTTGGCATTGCGATGAAGACAATCAAAAAAATTAAATAAGACAAAAGGAAACTCAAAAGAAGGATTTCGTAGAGTATCGATATTTGGTTTAGTTTTCTAATACCGAAAAACAGAAAGTTTAAAGATAAAAAGTCTGCAGCTCGACGTAGAAAACAGAGTGGCGAAAAACTATAAATGTCAAAAAGCTAAAATGTAGAAGAAAAACATGTCAAAAATCTCATTATGACCTAAAAGATTATAATACTTCAACAAAGCGTTCACTTATTACCGAATTAGCTGATGTTTAGATCCATTTTTCGATCTCTACTCTATGGAAAATAGCCTATTCATCAATATATTAATCAGGGCTTTATATTTTCTATTTCAGAATTCTGTTTTATCTCAAATCAATCTAAAACATCCTCATTTTCCCAGATTACAGTATTCTATGCAATTTTTCTTCCAACATTTTCTCACGGGAGAACCTCGCTTTTTACAGCATTGAGTGTAAGAAGATTTAAAATATGATTTTTGCTCTACTGTAACTGCAAGGTAAAATTGATTTTGTAAATTCTGAAGATTAAAAAATCGACCAATCAAAGAAATTTTCAGATATATAGAACTCGACACGCTTTACAGCATATGAAGAACAATAGAATATAGATCTTGCTTAAAACCAAAACTTTTGAGATGTCGCTTAACGAAAACCTCACTATTGACAGACGATTCATAGAAGACTGGTACGCACTATATCTTTTAGTAGAAAAATGTTTGTACTTATTGTCAATGTATTTCGAATAACCTTGGCTTCTACTTTGGACGAGTTGTTTAGTGCTAAGAAAAATTAGAATCCAATTTTGGTTTAATTAAAAGTTGCTAAAGAATTCACAAACCAAAAGTTCCACAAAAACTCGGCACATGTATTCAGAGTAAGAAAGTAATATTAAGATTCTACTAGAATGTTTTTTTTATTTCTGAAGCGTCTTTAGTGACAAAACATGAGCGTACAAATTCGTCCGAAACAGACGCACTAGCTCTTCGTGTCTTTGTTCTTTGTAGCTTTTGTTCGATTAAAATCTTCTATCTCTCCTTTCATTTCATCCGATCATCTCTATCCATGACGTGCTGATAGCAGTTCAAAGCTGAAAACCGTATATATACGACAAAATGATACTTATTTATAACATTTATTGATTCCCTCAGTTTGATAACTTCGCTATTAATCAATATAGCTTCAATCTCAAGCAGGAATTCTTCTGTTAGTACTTCATTTCTTAATTTCGAGAGCACTGACTAGTGTACTTAATCTAGCACTTTTTTTCATAAAGTTTCTCAAAAACCAGATGTTTACGACTTGCTGTTACTTTTTCATGAATACTACTGTCTTTATCTCACAGCTACGGTCTAGTGTACGATGATCATGGAATAGGTCCATTATACTTCATTAATTTACCAAGAAATGGTATTACAACTCTAGGTCAATCGGTCAATCAATCCTATGCTTATCATTGGACTGGTTTAGTCACTAGAATAAGTTCGAACATAATCAATTCAGTTAATTACACGAGCCGACTCCTTCCTGGTCAATACAAGCTTCGATTTTGGGCTCTCAAACATTTCGGAGATTACACTAATGACGATGATTTCGATATTTACCATACACCAATGTTCAATTTAGTGTATTAGTCTCTTACAACACTGACTTTGCCGTTTCTTCTTATAAACTGCTACTTTTTCATACTTTTAAATTTCTGTGAAAGCGTCACTCTTCCTAATACTGATCATAAAACGCTAACTCTTTCATCAGCAGCTCTGGTCTAACTCTAATATTCTACACAAAACAGTTACTTTCCTTAAATTTTCATTTATATTAAAACGCATTCATAGTTGAATAAAAGGAAATTATTAGAACAATCTTTCAGATCTCATGATTCTTATGCAGTTTTCAGTCACTATGATGTTGTATTGAAATAATATAGTAAATTCTGAAATATCCAAGAAGTTCCTCACGAAGTGAGAGTAAGACGTATCAAAAGTGGATATCTGAGCAAGCACTAGCAAGCTTTAAGAAACCCAAGATCAGAAACGATGAACCAAGACAGATATGTAACGTCAATAATATAACTCATTTTTCAAGCCATCATTGCGTGTGGATGTATAGAAGCTACCACGACACGTTTCGACTATTGTTTAAATAGTCTCATCAGGTGGCTTAGTATCTCTAAGTCGATTATATACTTTCAAAATGATGAAAATTTTGAAGACAAATCAATTCGAGACAAATTTACACTGTTCAACTTTGGGTGTAAATCAAATAGAAACAGATCAATCTATATCCCTCCGATACAAATCAATCTGCTAGTCTCAACTTTCGCTTTTCAGCAAACGACTATGATGTCGACTATAAAATATTTGATCGAGGTGCTTGAATTCAAATTAATTTATAAGAAATGCAGAGTTCAATTTCGCCGACGCGTTTCATGTTATTTATTTAAATATTAAAACACTCATCAGGGCTCTGCATTTCAATAAAAATTTCACACAAAAAAAAACAAAGTTCTGTATAAAGGAAAGATATTTTCCATAGAAGAATTATCTTCATAATATATTTATAATACACTAATGTTTTTTATGGGAAGAATGGTACAATAATATAGAAAGGGGGCACACTAATAGAAAGGAAAAAAGGCTATATTTCTAATATATAATAAACATCATCATCGGAGTTTCAGAATAGTGAAAAACTTTAGAAATTATCATATAGACACACATCTGGAGTTTTATATTTGATGAGAATAGGTTGAAAGTCTATTGTTTAATAAATTCAAGTGCTTCAAGTTGTGTCTAAAATGCCGTTGTTGTTTGGCTATTAAATCCAACATGTTTATTGTTCATTATCATGACTAGAGGCCGACAAGTTCAATTTTAGTTTCAAACTGATGAACTGTTCAAATCGTTCACTACCACGAACTGATCTGTTCGAATAGTTCTTTTGAAAAGAACTGTTCGAAAAAGTTCAGTTCGTTCAAAAGAACTATTTCAACAGTTCTTTAGTTCATTTGAACGGAGTTCGTGAACTTGAGCTGGTAGACCCCTAATCATGACATTTCTGTCGGCAGATTTTCTTCTTAATGTATACTAATTTTGCCGATAAAGATCTGTATCTGCAACTTGATAGCGTCATCGTTTATCTCCTAAATTGAAAGCCATATCTACAACTTGCTAGGATTGTCGTCTATCGAATCATGATTCAACGATTGATGTCAATTATTTTAATATAAATAATATATTATTCAATATATTGCTTCAAAATTTCACAATATCATATCTATTATACAAATAACTTCATGTTATCAATAAGATTAATATAAAACTTTATGGTATCACTAATTGTTACGGTGTGTTCTTCTATAACATCTACCTCGATCCCAACTATTCTCTTTTCTTTGTTATTTTCGTTTCTGTCTTTTATTTCTTTCCTTTGTCCTTCATTAACCCCTGCATTCTTCTATATTTCGTCTTTAGTTTTCATGTACGTATATAAGCACTTGTTTTGTGAAAGAATAACAGAGAGAATAAACCATACACGCACGTTAACTGTGTTCGTCGCTCTTCGTTAGCGTGAACGCTAACACTAATAACAAAAGATTTATAATTATTGATGCAGAAATTGACAAGCCATTTTTCAATAACTAATGTCCGCGCCAGAATGAAAGAGGGGTGAGTGTAAATCGAATAACTTGAGGGTGTGGGTGTGGGTGGGTGTCATTGTTCTCTTCGTTCACACTCACATCCATACCGCACTCACACCCACAACCAGAACGAAAATTAAAACTGAAGAA